AAATGCTTTAAAATGGCAACCAAAACCTGAAAGACGTGGAAGAAAGCGAAAAACTACCATTCGAATGGATAGAAGAATAGCCAAAATGGCAAGGACTCAGCCAACAATCAGCTCCAGGAAGATCAAAGGTCTAAAGTTACCTGTGAGTACTGTTACAATTAGAAGACGCCTATGTGAAGCCAAGCCATCTGCAAGAAGCCCCCGCAAAGTCCCACTGTTGAAAAAAAGACGTGCTGAAGAGGTTACAATTTGCCAAAGAGCACATTGACTGGCCTAAAGAGAAATGGCGCAACATTTTGTGGACTGATGAAAGTAAGATTGTTCTTTTTGGGTCTAGTGGCCGGAGACAGTTTGTCAGACGACCCCCAAACACTGAATTCAAGCCACAATACACTGTGAAAGACAGTGAAGCATGGTTGCGCAAGCATCATGATATGGGGATGTTTCTTATACTACGGTGTTGGGCCTATTTATCGCATACCAGGGACCATGGATCAGTTTGAATACATCAGAATACTTGAAGAGGTCATGCTGCCTTATGCTGAAGAGGAAATGCCCTTGAAATGGGTGTTCCAACAAGACAACGACCCCAAACACACCAGTAAACATGCAACATCTTGGTTCCAGACCAGCAAGATTGACGTTATGGAGTGGCCAGCCCAATCCCGGGATCTTAATCCAATAGAAAACTTGCGGGGTGACATCAAAAATGCAGTTTCTGAGGCAAAACCAAGAAATAGAGAAGAACTGTGGAATGTAGTCCAATCATCCTGGGCTGGAATACCTGTTCACAGGTGCCAGAAGTTGGTTGACTCCATGCAACACAGATGTACAGCAGTTCTCAGAAACAGTGCGACTACAACTAAATATTAATTAAGTGATTCAAAGGAAAGCAAAATCTTCAAACATTTTTCAGTTTATATAGTGAATGTTTGAGTTTGTAAAGAAGAATACAAACACTGCTATTTTTTTGAACAGTCTAATATTCACTTTTCTTAAATTTTTTTAGAGGAACAACACAAATTTGATATATTTTTCTTCATGTTTTGATTTGGAATAGAATGTGTTGTGTTCCCAATGCATTTGTGTGTATGGAAATAAAAGCTATTAGAAGGATTTTGAGCTTTAATCACTTTTTTCAACACACTATTATTTTGAACACAACTGTATAATACTGTACACACAAGTAATTTTGCGCACCCCTGTATATCTGCTATAGGGCAGCGGGAAAGCGGTTAATTTACTCAGATGTCCTTTTGTTTACATGACACGTTACAATATACAACAGTATTTTTTTTTTTTTTTTTCACATCCAGTCCTTAACCGTTTCAATACCGTGCAATTTTACACCTTCCTGCCAAGGCCATTTTTCAGGTTTCAGCGCTCTCACACTTTGAATGACAATTGCGCGGTCATACATCATTGTACCCAAACTAAAATTTTATCATTTTCTTCACACAACTAGAGCTTTCTCTTGGTGGTATTTAATCACCACTGGGGTTTTTATTTTTTGCTAAATTAACACAAAGACCAAAAATTTTGAAAAAAAAAACACATTTTTCTTTGTTTCTGTTATAAAAGTTTACAAATAAATAATTGTTCTTCATAAATTTAGGCCGCGATATATTCTGCTACATGTCTTTGGTGAATATAACCCAAATTAGGATGTATTTTTTAGTTTGTAGGAAAGTTATAGAGTTCACAAACTATGGGATAGATCTGAATATTGATCAATCCTGAAGTACTGACGGCCAATCTAATTTCTTGAGGTCCAAGAATGTCAGAATAGTACAGATATCCCCAAATGACCCCTTTTTGCAGAGTAGACAGTCCGACGTACTTCATAAGAGGCATGGCGAGTTTTTTGAAGTTGTATTTTTTTGTCATAATTTTTCTGAAAATGAAAAAATTAAAAAAAAATTATTTTCACTATTTTTTTTTTTTACATACTGTCACCAGTGCAGTACAGTGTCATCATATAACTGGCATGGCGGTGAACAGGGACACTGACTGGTGACAGTATGAAAAAAAATATATATATTTTTTTTTTAATTTTTTTTATTTTTTTATTATATTTAATTTTTTATTACATTTTTTTTTATTTTTTTTAAAGATTTTTTTCATATTTTACTATGACCAAAGTAGTACAATGTTACCATAGTAACATTGTACTACTTTGGGGAAGTGATCAGTATTTTTTTATTTTATTTTTTTTTTTACACAATTTGCTTATAGCAAAGAATTACTTTGCTATAAGCAAGCATTTACCTGAATGAAATCGATTCATTCAGCTTTTTTTTTTTTTTTTTTTTTTTTGTGCTTAGCTGTGATTTGGTCACAGCTAATCACATGACATGTGCATGTGATTAGCTGTGACCATTCACAGCTAGGCACTAGTATACAATGGATGGCATCATGAATGAAGCCATCCATTGTATACAACTGTCATGTGACCTGCTGTGATTGGTCACAGCAGGTCACATGGTACCAGCAACGGGAGTCGGTACTCGGATCTGGCATCGGCCGTGTCCGAGGTGCACGTCCGGTGACAGATCGCACTGCTGCGCCGCTCTGCATTAGCGGAAACGGCGCATGTGCGGGAGCACGCCAAATGGCGTGCACCCAGAATTAAGAGACACTTCTGAAGCCGCCAAACGGCCATTGGCCGGGCCTAATGGTTAAGATGCAGCTAAGTGACTTTGCCTAGGCCAATTTATGTAATTAGTCTGCTGCAGACACGGGTAAGGATTTCCTCACTCTCCTTTCAACCAGTGACCAGATTGCATTATTGTAACTTTATAGTAAGGAGAGAAGCTGCAGTAGGGGGCTGATCCAAGTCAGAAATTTGACAAAAACAGCCAAACACTGCATATACACCAGGATCTATATGATTGGGTCATCTCTGAAACATTATCCCAACGCAGGAAGTAAATGTTGGACCTGGATGATACCTGAACAACAATGGTACTATCATTCTAATTGGAATTGGAAAGCTGATAAAGACATGGTTAAGGTTGGTATTGTAGTCTTTGTAAGAAGTCATAAATACCTGTAAAAGATGCACTTTACACTTTAACCACTAGCTTACAGGGCACTTATAGCCCCTTCCTGCCCAGGCCAGTTTTAAGTGCTGTCGCACTTTGAATGACAATTGCGCGGTCATGCAACACTGTATCCATATGAAATATTTATCATCATTTTTTTGAGACAGATAGAGCTTTCTTTTGGTGGCATTTAATCACCTGTTTTTTTTATTTTCTGCTAAACAAACCAAAAACTGAAAATTTGGAAAAAAAAAAACAACTTTTCTTAGTTTTTGTTATAACATTTTGTAAACAAGTGATTTTTCTCCTTCACTGATGTGCGCTAATGAGGCTGCAGTGATGGGCACTGATATGTGGCACTGATGAGGATGCACTAGTAGGTGGCACTAATGGGAATTGACAGGCATCACTCATGGGCACTAAAAGGCAGCACTCATATATGGCACTGATAGGCGGCACTGACTGGCATTGATAGGTGACACTGAAAGGCAGCTCAGATGGGCACTGATATGTGGCATTGATGTGCACTGGTAGGCACCGATATGTGGCACTGACAGGCATCACTGATGGGCACTGAAAGGCAGCACTCATATGGCACTGATAGGCGGGTGGCACTGAAAGACAGCTCAAATGGGCACTGATATGTGGCACTGATGTGCACTGGTAGGCACTGACAGGTGGCACTGCTGGGGCTACACTGATCATCAGGGCACAATGATCACCAGTGCCCTGATGATCAGTGTACATGTCCCCTCCGAGGAATGCCGATTACCAGCTCTCCTCTCGAGCTGTCAGCATGACAGCTTGTGAGGAGAGAAATGCAGATAACCGGCATTTCCCTATTTACATGTGATCAGCTGTGATTGGATACAGCTGATCACATGACCGAGCCGAGATCTTCAGCTCTTTCTGTTGATCGGTGATCCATTGTGTCCGAGGGACACAGCGCACCACCGATCGCTGTGCTGCATGCTCCCAGAGCCGCGCATGCGCGCTTAGAGTGGGAGGACGTCGTATGACGTCCTCCCAGAAGGAGAGAACCGCCTTGCGCCCGTCATTACCTTATATGTCGGGCAGGAGGCAGTTAAATATTGTGTATCTATTCGACATAAAAAAAAAAAAAAAAACATTATCTGATGCTAGGTACATTTTGAAAACATTTAGGTTTGTGACTATACCAAAATACTGTCCATTTAATTTAGGCCACACAATAGTCAAACCTGCTGAACATTCTTGAGAATAAGGAAAATTATGTCACGCCTCGTTCACACCAAACGGGCAGAAAATTTGATGGAAACTGACACGCAGATTTCACTTGCAGAGACATTGTTTACATCAGTTTTCATGCATGCTTCAATGCGTTTTATACATGTTGCAGATTCCTGCGCAGAAAAAAATATGCATGTGTTGTGTTGTGAACAGGGCACATAGAGAACAATTGGATTTTATTGTGCCCTTGCAGAATGCGTGAAGAAAAACGGACGTCTCTGCACCATAGTGTGAACAAGCCTTCAAAAGGCAATATATTGTGAAACCCACTAAGGCCTCATTCACACTCCAAGTGCAGTAAAACTGATGGAAACTGACACACAGATTTCATTTGCAAAGACATCAGATCACATCAGTTTTCATGCACGCTTCAGTGAGTTTTATACACATTGCAGATTCCTGTGCAGAATCTGTAAAAATCTGCATGTGATACTAGTGTTGTGATGTGAACAGGACACATAGAAAAGAATTGGATTTAGTTGTGCCCTTGCAGAACACGTGCAGAAAAACTGATGTCTCTGCACCATGGTGTAAACGAGCCCTAAATAATTTACCAACTGAAAGGCCAGGTTTTTTTTTTTTTTTTTTTTTTTTTAAATAACAATGGAAGTAGGAAAGAGATGCATCAAAACACAATGACAGTAACAGAAGTAATCTAATCAAATAAAAAAGGGGCAACCCTTGTACCTGTAAATCTGTTTGCTGTTGCAAATTCTGCACAATTTTCAGTGTATTGGTTATTGTTTGCTGAATGCTCTCTACGGATTTCTGTTGGTCAGTTGCAATCTTGTCCAGCTGTGCAGATAACGTTTTAAATCGTGACTTCACACTGGCTAACTGCTCCAACAATTTTGTAGGGTTTTCCTAATAAACAAAAGTTCTCATCAATATTTTTGCAAACACAAATTCCTTTCTAGCAATTAAACCCCTTTTTAAAAAGCCATTTAAAGTGGACTGAAAAGGCAGTATACTTACAGTGCATATACTAGAGCAGAGCTAGGTGTTGCCCTAGGAGGACGACTAGATGTGTGGCAAACATGCTGGATACTTTCTATGCCTTTTTAGCCCATATAAAATGTGAATGTAATTTGAAATAAATATAAAATTATTTTATAAGCTACATAATGGCAGCATCTATGTGGCTCTGCGTTCATTTTATAGAGCGACAGCGGCATTATTGAGGATTTTACAGGGACAGCTACCTGGAATTCTCCAGGGAGAGATAGGAGTACCTGACAAAACTGAGGGGCACCAGATAAAATCCCCTAAAGTAGTTAGAGGAGGATCGGTGCTGCTCTGTGCACAACCACTGCACAGAGCAGGTAACTATGACTTTTTTTTTTTTTTTTTGTAGGGGGGGGAGCTTGTTTTTCTTTTTTTTTTTACAAATAACAAAGGGCCGGACCTTTAAATCACTTTAATCTCTTCCCTTTTATGAAGATACAAACTGCATGCCTTGCAAAACTGAAGGCCAAAGTTATCCTTACTGGGAAGAGCTTTCAAAAGGATAAACAGAAATTCAAATAAGCAAAGTTTCTATAACATTCATAATAGATGCCTGGCGTATGGGAACCTAAATTTTCTCATTTAAGACTAGGCTTAAGATGAACACACACACACACACACACACACACACGCACACACACGCACACACACGCACACACACGCACACACACACACACCTTTATGGATTGCACCCATTTTGCACCAGGTAGAATACTCTTGTCTTCAGAACACCCCGATCCAAAAAGGATGTGGAAAACCTTCCCAAGGATCTTGGTCAACAATTATTTGATAGTTATCATGCAGTTTTGCATATATGTCAGCCATAGTTTCATGTTGCAGATCCCCAGTTCCACTTTATTCCAAAAGATCAATATTTAACCACTTAACAACTGGGCTATAGCCAAATGACAGCTACAGCGCGGTTGTCCAGTTCTGGGAGGGCGTCATATAACTTCCTCCCAGAAAGCACCCTCCTGCGCGCGCCCCCACCCACCGATCTCCGTGATCGCTGTGTCCTATGGACACAGCTGATCATGTGATGTGGTAAAAAGGCCAATCACAGCTTCCTTTTACCACGTGATCAGCTGTGTCTAATGACACAGCTATCACCGGGTAAATGCAGTTGCTGGTTGTCAGCTGCACTTTCCTCTCGCTGTCACAGAGTGCGGAAAGTACTGCCGAGAACTGGCAATTGTCAGTAAAGAGATCGGCACTGATCATCAGTGCCCAGAAGTGCCACCCACAGGTGTCCATCAGTACCTCCCATCATTGCTGCACATCAGTGCAGCATCATCAGTGCCACCTCATCAATGCACATCAGTGGAGAAAAATTACCTGTTTGCAAAATTATAATAGAAACAAAGAAAAATATATATTTTTTTATTTTTAATTTTTTGCTTTTTGTTTATAGTGCAAAAAACAAAACTCCCAGCGGTGATTAAATACCATCAAAAGAAAGCTTTATTTGTGTGAAAAAAAACAATAAAAATTTCATATGGGTAGTGTTGCATGACCATGCAATTCTCATTCAAAGTGCAACAGCGCTGAATGCTGAAAATTGGCATGGGCAGGAAGGGGGTATAAGTGCCCGGTAGGCAAGTGGTTAAAAAGCCAAAATTCTGCCCCCACCATCTGTATGTTGCAGAAGAAGGAAGATTTGTCAGGCTAGGCATTTTTTACCCATCTTCAACCATTAAATTTAGTTTTTCTTGTCTGTTGTAATCTCATTTTTCTGTTCTTGACCGAGAAAAAGAGAACCCATCTTAAGCTTCTGCACCCCGTTACAAAAAGTGAACAAATCTCACTCTCTCCAATGATCTCTCTCTCATTAGCAAAGGTAATCTATAGAAGTAAAGGGTTTGTTTTGCTCACCACTCTCCAAACTCTAAAAAGGGTAATGTGTTAGTCACAAGAGGTCAGCAGTTTTCAAGATGCTGTAACACTACTTTTGGCAGCAATCATTCATTCCACAATAAATGTTGTTTCTCCTTTCTAATAACAGTTGATCAACCCATTGACTGTGTTTGCATGCTTTACTTTACAAAATAAAAAGGAACCACTTTTTTTGTCCCAAAAAGAAACCTCTGGTGAGAGAAATACAGGGACTACACAAATTTCATACTTTCCAGAGCAAATGACCTAGAATAAGTGACCAACCATGTTCTAGGTCATTGACTCTGGAAAATTATAAAAACCACCAAGATTAGCAAGACACCCAGGCATCTAGCAATTTCAGAAGAGAGGCCCAATGGCAGCCTCCATATTTCTCTTTTCTCAATTTTCCATATATATATATATATATATATATATATATATATATATATATATATATCTCTATCTACACACACATACATATATACATACACATACATACACACACATATAAATACACACACACACATATATACACACACATGCACGCACACTGGCCACTTTATTAGGTACACCTGTTCAATTGCTTGGTGACAGAAATTGATAAACCAGCCAATCACATGGCAGCAACTCAATGCATTTAGGCATCTAGACGTGGTGAAGACAACTTGCTGAAGTTCAAACTGAGTATCAGAATGAGGAAGAAAGGGGATTTAAGTGACTTTAAATGTGGCATGGTTGTTGGTGCCAGACAGGCTGATCTCAGTATTTCAAACACTGCTTATCATCTGGGATTTTCACGCACAGCCATCTCTAGGGTTTACGGAGAATGGTCCAAAATAGAGAAAATAGCCAGTGAGCGGCAGTTTTGTGGTTGAAAATGCCTTGTTGATGTCAGAGGACAATGGGCATTTGATTTGAGCTGCGACATTCAGATGGTAGGGTCAGAAGTTGGTGAGGGAGACCTCACTGCAAAGATATTTTTTTCTACTTCCGATTAGAGTGGGGCTTTTAGAACAGCACATTTGAGAATTCAACACAGATTAAAAATGTGGAAAAAGATATGCAAACATTAAAATTAAAGTTTTGTCAATTTGTCCAAATTAAATGTTCAGCTGTATGTAAAATTGATCTTGATGTATGCACTGTAAAGATATAAGGTTTGTGCATAGCATAACCTAAAAGCAAGAAAGAATAAAACTTGTGTCTTTGTGTCAGTTATATTGCTAAAGTTTATTCTAAAGGCTCCTGTATGACAGTCTAAACAAGAACCAAATCCAGTTACTTTGTGATGCACAAGCCTCAAAAGTAAGCAGAATCCTCCTTTACTTCCCCTGACTGAGCCAAAAACTCTTTCATTGGTGGGTAATTGTACCCAGGGAAATGACTGGCCTCAGGTGATAGACCGAGATGAAAACTCCTCCTCCTACGTAAATTGTACCCGTTTACCTGAAGCTTCTCTACATCGTTTCAAAGTGCTGAATTTATAAAGCTTGTCTGAGCATTGAGGGGAAAAAAAAAAAAAAAAAAAAAAAAAAAAAGGAGGGCAGAGAGGTGAAGTTAAACTCTGCAGAGTTCAGTGAGGACTCAGTGAGGAGCTGATGGGAGGGTAGAGACACCTGTCACTGTTTTTCTTTTGGTGTCAGCAAAACTTGTCAGAAGTGATTCATGCTGATAACAAAGAAACAAGGCAGCAGACAGAAATTACACTTAGGGCTCTTAATAGAGACAAGTACACACAAATAGATGGATATGTTATGTTCATACCTAATGTCTGAGGTTTACAACCACTTTAGCCAGCATTACTACTGTGGGAAATTATGGCAGTGTAATAAACACTTTAGTTAACTCAGAGAAAATCACAAGTTGAAAGCAATACTGCTTATTATATCAAATCCCTGATTATTGTCCTACATTCGCTTTGCTTTCTGCATACAAAGTTCAATAGCCATGTCACACACAATGCTAATAAAAGTGATAAAGGCAAGCATTAAACAATTAGGTGTTATGATGAGCAAGCCTATTAATGCTTTCAATGGTGAGATTCTACAGCTTTATGTATACCACATTGCCCTATCTACTGTTGTGAACATACACTAGTGACAGCTTTATGCTCTGGATCCTCCAAGGAAAACAAGTGCACTGTATGTTTTAAATCTCCCCCCCTTTTCGGTTTAAGATTTTACTGCAAAACAGCATGATCCCCCTCTGTCCAAATAAAATCCTCATTAGGTTCTAAATGATAAATACTTGGTAACCTAATTGCCATTTGCTCGGTTTCAAATCTTCACTAGAAGAGGAGAACTAAAATACCATTGCTTGTCAAGGATAACGCAGCTGCTTTTTATGCCAATAATTCCCTTTTTATTTAAATGGATGAGCCTCATTTTTCCTAAAATAATTTCAGCAAAACTAGAGCAAATGAATGATTATTGTTCACAGCAGCTAATGAGATTTACATTTTCTTAACACTATAATCAACTGCTTATTTGATTGGGGGAAGTAGAGCCCTTGCAACCAATTAATTAGCACCAGTTCAGTAAAACATCAAAGTGCATTAGATAAAGAATTGCTATAAAATGTGTTAAAGCCATACTGTGCAGTGCATTACATAAGGTACTCCCAACATCCAGAATCAATTTCTGTCACTCATCAGTAAAAACAGTGCAGTTACCTGAGCTGCCGACTCATCTGGTAGGCTCTTCCGTATTTCAAACTCAAGCTTTTGTTCAATGTAGTCCAAGTCAGATTCAGCTTTTTGGAACTGAAATTCAGATTTTTCAGTTTTTACTATGTGCAGTATTAAAACTGGATTAGGAAAAAAAAAAACAGCAGCAACAAACTATGTAATAACATGACCTACAAAGATTACAGAAACTAGAACAGTTCATAAGAAGCGTGGTGTATGTGCTCTTCCCTCTCTTTAGAATAACTTTCCATTCACTGATTGCGTCCAATCCTTGCTTGTCATATGACGATGTGATCTCTGCTCTCAGATGCTTTGACAATACTATTGCACTGCTAGCTGTATATTACAGTAGTGCAATAAAGTCAGAGCATATATTAGCAGAACAAGGTTACTGTTTAATAGGTAACATCAGTAAGGCTTCAGAGACAGTTCCAGACTAACAAAGCCAGCATGTTGTCCATCCAAAGTGTGCCTTGGGTCACAGGCCAATGCCCTTTTAACATTGCACTGCTTTATGTGTGTGGCCACTAGTAGTACAACATAAAAAGGGCGCTGGACAGGATTCTTGAACATTGGTGAGAACAGTAATCCTTGGCAAGAATAAAAAATGGTTATAGTGTTATCATGCATAGAAAAACTATATTACCCAGGTCTGCAAGCAAACCTTGTTTGGGAAAAAACCCAAATGAACAACACTTAAATCAAAACAATGCAATTCTGTTCAATTAAACAAATAACCTGCATTAGTCAGAGGATACAGTATCTCACAGAAGTGAGTACACATTTTTGTCAATATTTTATTATATTGCATGCTACAATGTAAAGTAGTGAGTGTACAGCTTATATAACAGTGTAAATTTGCTGTCCCCTCAAAATAACTCAACACACAGCCATTAATGTCTAAACCGCTGGCAACAAAAGCGAGTACACCCCTAAGTGAAAATGTCCAAATTGGGCCCAAAGTGTCAATATTTTGTGTGGCCACCATTATTTTCCAGCACTGCCTTAACCCTCTTGGGCATGGAGTTCACCAGAGCTTCGCAGGTTGCCACTGGATTCCTCTTCCACTCCTCCATGACAACATCACGGAGCTGGTGGATGTTAGAGACCTTGTGTTCCTCTACATTCCGTTTGAGGATGCCCCACAGATGCTCAATAGGGTTTAGGTCTGGAGACATACTTGGCCAGTCAATCACCTTTAACAAACTCAGCTTCTGTAGCAAGGCAGTGGTCATCTTGGAGGTGTGTTTGGGGTTGTTATGTTGGAATACTGCCCTGCAGCCTATTCTCCGAAGGGAGGGGGATCATGCTCTGCTTCAGTATGTCACAGTATATGTTGGCATTCATGGTTCCCTCAATGAACTGCAGCTCTCCAGTGCCGGCAGCACTTCTGTAGCCCCAGACCATGACATTCCCGCCACCATGCTTGACTGTAGGCAAGACACACTTGTCTTTGTACTCCTCACCTGGTTGCTGCCACACACGCTTGACACCATCTGAACCAAATAAGTTTATCTTGGTCTAATCAGACCACAGGACATGGTTCCAGTAATCCATATCCTTAGTCTGCTTGTCTTCAGCAAACGGTTTGCGGGCTTTCTTGTGCATCTTCTTTAGAAGAGGCTTCCATCTGGGATGACAGCCATGCAGACCAATTTGATGCAGTATGCGGTGTATGGTCTGAGCACTGACAGGCTGACACCCCCCCACCCCTTCAACCTCTGCAGCAATGCTTGCAGCTCTCATACGTCTATTTCCCAAAGACAACCTCAGGATATGATGCTGAGCACGTGCACTCAACTTCTTTGGTCGACCATGGTGAGGCTTGTTCTGAGGGAAACCTGTCCTGTTAAACTGCTTTATGGTCTTGGCCACCATGCTGCAGCTCAGTTTCAGGGTTTTGGCAATCTTCTTATAGCCTAGGCCATCTTTAGGTAGAGCAACAATTCTTTTTTTTTTCAGATCCTGAGAGAGTTCTTTGCCATGAGGTGCCATGTTGAACTTCCAGTGACCAGTATGAGAGAGTGACAGAGATAACACCAAATTTACACACCTGCTCCCCATTCACACCTGAGACCTTGTAACACTAACGAGTCACATGACACTGGGGAGGGAAAATGGCTAATTGGGCCCAATTTGGACATTGTGACTTAGGGGTGTACTCACTTTTGTTGCCAGCGGTTTAGGCATTAATTGTTGTGTGTTGAATTATTTTGAGGGGACAGCAAATTTACATTGTTATACAAGCTGTACACTCACTACTTTACTTTTAGCAAAGTGTCATTTCTTCAGTGTTGTCACATGAAAATATATAATAAAATATGAGGGGGTGTACACACTTCTATGAGATACTGTAGCATATTTAAGGTGGCCTGAAAATGAAACATACTTACCTATACAGTATCAGAAAGAATATGGATATGGAGCAGTTGCATGCCATTATTCGGGCAGGCGGTAAAGCCGAGGCTCAACCATCTGGTTTTACTGCCCCCTGGCTGCACATGTGAACAAACGAGTCACCCTAAGGAATTTAATATTAGCCCATAATTGTGCCCTATCAAACCAAACCATCGGGCCCAGGAAGGCTTTACATTACCAAGCACCTGGGCATTCTGAACACTGGAAGTTCATACACTGAAAAAAGGAGCTGCTGTTCAGGCATTCCAATTCAGGTGTGCTTTAAGTATACATAGACAGGTTAGCTATCTAAGATAATGCAGTTCAAAACTAAGCCAGGCCATAGACGGGCCGTTTATCGGCCGAATTTTCGTCCGATAAACGAAAAAATCGGTCGGCCCCGTTGCCAATGCTGCCACCCATGTCCACGAAAAACGGCAGTTTTTTCGTGGATTTTCTAGCATGGACGATAAAAATAAATGAGGAGATCCGCAAAAAATGGCCAATAGGCTGACCCCACTTACAGCGTTATTATCGGCCGATTTTTCATGCAGACGAAAATTCAGCCGATAAACGACCTGTCTATGGCCTGCATAAAAGTGTTACATAAAAGGGGTTGATTTACTAAAACTGACAACTGCAAAATCTGGTGCAGCTGTGCATGAAAGCGATTCAGCTTCTAACCTCAGCTTGTTCAGTTAAGCTTTGACAATAAAACCTGGAAGCCAAATGGTTTCTATGCAGAGCTGCAACAGATTTTGCACCATGCAGTTTTAGTAAAATCAACCTCTACGTATTTTGTGTAATCTCAACACTCAGTTCTATGTATTCTCATCTCCATCTTATCAAACAAGAAAGGCGGCCAATACACTTATCTATGAACTATTGAAAGATGAATGAGGAATGCTGGGGGGGGGGGGCAGAATCACAAAATGCCAAGCTCTGCATTCTTGTTTCCCTTGCTTGTCTTGGGAAGGCGCTCACAGCTGAGAAAAGCAGTTACGAATTAGCTGTCTCCTTTGAAGGGGTGAATCAAGTGGGACTTCGTAATTAATGTAATTAGGATAACTGGCCAATGCTTCTTTCCCCCCCCCATTTAGCCAGTCGGCTAAACAAAACAAAAAAAAAAAAAAAAAAAAAGGAAGGATTCCTCCATCCACACAATCAAGGTGGATGGAGGAATCCCCCAAGTTGGGACATTATATTCTGACAGCAGGACTCACTGCGGTTAGAATACACTGATCAACAAAAGTTTTTCAGCTTGTCTGTTCAGCAGGCGTCAATCTATTGACCAACTTTTGTCAAAAGGGGACAGCCACACACTGAAATTCAGCTAGTCCCTGCTGAATTTCAATCCCTCTATGGTCAGAAATCTCTTCGAAACATGGGATAAAGTACTACATATACACTGTCCCATAGAGAACAGAACTGTAGTGTAAAAAAAACTATAATGAAAGATCTTGTTTAAAGCAAATATAAAAGAAAAACTGAAGTATATGTAAACCCTCACCTTGTAAAACAACCCATTCAGTTTAAAATAGAAATAAAAAAGCAAAAAACATTTGTGTATACATATAAAAACCATTATAAATACCTTTTTTTACCCATGTTTTTTAAGTGATCACATACCCTTTAAGCTCCTATGTAGTTGAGAGCAGAGAGCTGGGGGAAAAGAAACAGCAGAACACTGAACTTCCCAGTGAATGGCTGTACAGGGGGGAGCATGTGAGCAGAAGTCTGATCTTTGGAGAGCAGGATGAGTTCTCAGCACAGCTAGAGAACTGACTACGCCGTGCTCTCCTGCCTCAAGTGGTCTATTAATAGGAAAACAGAGGGAATGGCAGGAACACCAAGTATTTCACACAAAGGAAGCAATACAAAGGCAAATGGATACTTTTTCATACAAGTACATCGTATAGCAGTCACATATCAGGAATATGAAATGTTGGGTTTACATATTCTTTAATGCTGCCCTGTATTCATTAAATTTATTTTTCCAAGCAAGCAGTGGAATTTCTACAATTTGACTTGGTATTGGCTTTTTGCCAGAGCCAAGAATGGAAGGGAAGGAAGCAGCACAAAGAATCAGTTTGTGTGCTGACAAGCAGCATGCTGATAGGAGGGGAAAGCAGAATGACAGAGAGATGAGCTCATCACTCTGCTGAATCTCCTTCATTATACAATCACAGGCTGGGACAGGTACAAAACAGCCAAGAATCAGAGAAGTATGTTGAATAATGCTGGCTGTCATTCAGTCTTGAATACTAAGAACATCCAGTGTTGAAAAAGTACTGAGGGCAGTTCGAGATAGAGGGGTGAATAATGCAGCATGCTGCTTTTTTTTGTTTATGATAATTTTTTGTATGGTGTTCTGCTTTAAGTAGCTTTCTCTAATGCCGGCCATAGACGGGTCGAAAAATTTTTTTTTTTTAAATGGCCGATTTTCGTACCGTTAGTGGGATAATTGGTCGGCCGTTTTTCTGGATTTTTGTACAATTATTTTTTTTTTATCGGTCATTATTATTATTATACAGTATTTATAAAGCGCCAATAGTTCGCTCAGCACTGTACATTACAAAGGGGGACAGAACATGTGACAGAACAATAACAATACAATGCAAAACATGAGGGGATTGAGGGTCCTGCTCTTTCGAGCTTACAATCTAGGAGGGAGGGGA